CTTCTCCTCCCGCCCTTCCACTCCCCCTTCCCTTTGCACGCGAGTCCTCAAGGGCAGGGAGAGGATCGATGCCGATACCCCCTCCCCCCCCGCCCCCCCCCCCTCGCCCCCCCCCCCGCTCCCCCGTGCGAGCCGGGGTTCGACCGCTGCTTTTGGTATGGGGCTGGGATGTCTGAGATTTTGCTCGGACGGCATTTGCCTGGAGGCATTTTTCGTGGAGATGCCTTCAGAGAATCGGAAGGGCCAAAAAAAGAGCATGGTTTTCAATATTCGAAAGAGCGCGTTCTACCGCTGCTGGCGGAAAACCGGGGGGGGGGGCCACTGCCGGTTCGAACCCCTTCCCCCCCCCCAGTCCATCATGACATGGGGGGGGTCGGTACCGGTTTGAACCCCCCCCCTCGAAAAGCGGGCGGGGTCACTGCCGGTTCGAACCCCCCCCCTGGAAACCGCGGGGGGGGGCGGACAGTGCCGGGGACGGTGGTGGTGGGGACAGTGGTGAGGGGACAGCGGGACAGTGGTGGGGACAGCGGGACAATTGTGGGGACGGCAGTGGTGGGGACAGTGGTGAGGACAATGGTGGGGACAGTGGGACAGTGGTGGGGACGGTGGTCGTGGGGACAGTGGTGTGGGGACAGTGGGAACGTGGTGGAAACAGTGGGACAGTGGAGGGTACAGCGGTGGTGAGGACAGTGATGAAGGCGGTGGCGAGGACGGCGGTGGGACAATGGGACTGACGTACAGTGGGGACACTGGTGGGGACAGCGGGGACGGTGGTGGGAACAGTGGGACAGCTCAGTGGGACAGCGGAGGAGTCAGTGGGACAGCGGGGACAGTGGGAATAGTCGGGCAGTGGTTGGGGCCGTGGAGAAAGTGGGGAGAGTGGAACCGCGGCGGGAACAGTGGTGGGGACAGTGGGGACAGTGCGACACTGGCGGGGGCACTGGTGGGGACAGTAGGGACGGTGGTGAAACCAGCGGGGACAGTCGTGGTGAGGACAGCGGTGCTGGGAACAACGGGGGATGTGGTGCGGACGGTGATAGGGACCGTGAGGCGTTTGTCGGCGGTGAGGGGGGGAGGTGGGGAAGGGTTCGAACCGCTAGTGGCCCCCCCTCCGGTTTTCGAGAAGGGGGGGATTCGAACCGGTAGTGACCCCCCCCCGCTTGCGAGGGGGAAAGGGGGGTTTAGGGGAGGGGGGGGGGCTTGTTGGGGGAGGGGGGGGGGAGGGGGGGGGGGGGTCCAGCAGGGGGGGGGATTTTCGGAGGGAGTGGGGGGGGGCCCGGGCTCCGGAGGAAGAGGGGGGAATCTTCCACAGTAAAGCGGCGGTGGGTCACGCTCTCTCCAATATTCCAGCACCACGCCTATCTGCACAGGGCTAGAGTTTCGAGGACCGTGTTCGGGAGGGCATTTTTTTGTGCGAAGATCACTCGCGGCCAGTATCCATCCAGAAAATCGGAGAGTCCCCCCCAAAACAAACGCCTCCCGAGCATGGTCTTCGAAAACAACACCGTGCCGTTTGGTAAAGGGCTGGCGTTTCGAGAGCCATGCTCGGGGGGTGTAGGGGCTAGCATAATAGTGGTGCAGCTTGAGGAAGGAGGTGCATATATTTGTATATAAATATGTAAACCTATGTATACAAACATATACCTCTATAGATATACATATACACACACGTGACATTTGTGTGAGAGAGAGAGGCGAAGAGATACAGCGAGAGAGGCATGATAAGGATAATGGCGAAGAGAAGTGCGAAAACTATTTTCTACCGAAACAGAGTCCTCTGGAACGCCGAGGGGCGCCACAATCCCCTGGACTCGCCGGCGCCGGCGCTCGCCGTCGTCGGTTGCAAAGAGGGGGGGGCCCCTGGTTCGAATATTTTTTGCTTGATTTCACAATTCAGCGGAGGGGCCGCTTCGAACCCGCCGCCCTTCCTTGAAAAAGGGCCCCCCACCCCCCGTTCGACCCCCCCTCCCCTACAATTGAGGGCCCCCCCCACCTATTTCGGGTGCGGCTCGAACCGAACATGGGAGGAATTTCGGCCACATGGGGCGGATGGGTATCAATCCCGACCAACTGGTACCAATTACAATCATTGCGCAAGTTTTTGGACGTTGTTTGGAGAGTTCTTAGAGGTTATGTTGTAGCTCCTTAGACGCTCCTTAGAGGAATTTCAAGAATTTCTTTTTAAGATTCGCTTAGATGTATGAGGATCCTTTTGGATTGCTGAGGATCCCTGAAGGATTTCTGAAGATTCCGAAGGACTTCGGATGGTTTCCTGCAATATTCTTGCAGATTCATGAGAATTCCGAAGGATGCCTGACAATTCTTCAGGGTTTTTAAAAAAAAGGATTCCTGATGATTTCTTTTGGTTTCTGGAGGATTTCTTTTGATTCTCATGAATTCCTGAAGAATTCCTGTGGGTTCCCGAAAGATTTTTGGAAGATTCCCGAAGGACTTCTGCGGTTCCCGAAGGATTCCTCAAGAATGCTTGGGGACCCCTTTCTTTTTTGATTTTGGAGAAGCCTCGAGGGTTCCTGAAGGATGCCCGGAGGTTCCTGAAGGATTTCGGAGGATGTTTGGAGGATTCTTGAGGGTTCTTCAACGACGTCTCTGGGTTCCAAACGGATTTTTGAAGGACCAATGTGGATGCTTGAAGATCCACGACGCGTTTCTCTGGATGTCCTTGAGGATTCCGGAAGAATTTCTGATGAATTCTTGAAAAATCTTGAGAAGTCCAGAGGATTCTTGAAAGATTCCTCAAGGATGTTCAAGGGTTCTTGGAAGACTTCTCATGGTCCCGGTGGATTCCACGAAGAATTTCGGAGGATTCCTAAAAGATGTTTGAAGGAGGACCCCAGAAGAATGTCTGAAGGACTCCTGTTCCTGAGAATGCCTAGGGTTTCGTGTCACCGGAGGTCCGGTGAGCCCCCAAACCCATGCGGGAGAAGGGGGCCGAACGAGCCGCTTTCACCTCTGCCGGCGCCGCCGAGTTGTTCGGCCCCCGCCACCATTCTCGCGGGCGCGGGAGTCCCCAAACCACCGAGGGCAACGCTTCCAATGCAAGCGTTTCGTGCCCTCGGGGTATCGGGTGGCCCCCGCTCTCATGGGGAGCAAGAGCGTGGCCGAACGATTCATTTTGCCTCCCGCCGCCGCCGCCGAGTCGTTCGGCCCCCGCCCCCTCCCCCGCGGGAGGGGGGTTCTCTGGGCCTCGAAGGCGACGCTTCCAATGGAAGCGTTTCGTGCCTTCGTGGGTCCGGTGAGCCCCCGAACCCATGGGGACGAAAAAGGGGGGGCGAACGGGTCGATTGGCCCCGCGCCAGCGCCGCCGCCAAATCGTTCGGTTCACACCTCCTTCTCTTGCGGGCGCGGGATTCCCGAAATCCCCGAGGGCGACGCTTCCAATGGAAGCGTTTCGTGCCATCGGGTGTTCGGTGAGCCCCCATATACATGGGGAGCGAAAGCGTGGCCGAACGAGTCACCTTGCCCTCCGCCGCCGTCGGTCCGAGTCGTTCGGCCTCTGCCCCCTTTCTTGCGGGCGCGGGATTCCCCAAACCCCCGAGGGCGACGCTTCCAATGGAAGCGTTTCGTGCCCTCTTGGGTTCGGGGAGCTCCCCAATCCACGGGGAGGGAGAGCGTGGCCGAACGATTCACCTTGTTCTCCGCCGCCGCCGCCGCCGAGTCGTTCGGCCCCCGCCTCCTTTCTTGCGGGCGCGGGATTCCCCAAGCCCCAGAGGGCGACGCTTCCAATGGAATCGTTTCGTTTCAGGGAGCTTCCGAACCCATGGATGGGGAGGGGGAGGATGGCCGAACGAGTCACCTTGCCCTCCGCCGCCGCCACTTTCCTAACTCCCCAGATCGAACGCACGTGAGCCCTGATCGGCTAGAGGCTGTCGGAGGCTATCCTGTGCCAAGCTCAGCTATTTCGGAGGCCTGTGTGAGACTGTCTTGAAGCCTCTTGGAGGTATGCTGGGGGCTGTCTTGAGCCATTCTCGATTTCCTGGGACCAGCTTGGGGCTGGGAGGAAGAGGAAGACGAGGACGAAGAGGACGAGGAAGAGCAGGAGGAGGAGGAGGAAGAGAAGGAGGGAAACATAGAAGGAGGAGGAGGGGGAATAAGAAGAGGAGTAGGACGAGGAGAAGTTGGAGGCGGAGGATCATGAGGAATGCAGCACGAGGAAGAGGAGGCGGAGGAATGGGGGAGGAGGAGGAAGAGGAGGAGGAGGAGGAGGAGGAGGAGGAAGAGAGAGGATGCAAGGAAAAAGGATGGGGAAAGGATGGTGAGGAGGATGAAAAACCTAGCCTTGGATGTGTATTGGTGTGATTAGTGTGTGGGTATGTGTTGTGAATAAATCGATATGTTTTGTTGCATTGAGGTGTTATGTGTCGTTGGGTGTTGATGACACAAGACAACACAGCTCCCAGATGCCAGAAGGTAAACTGGTACCAACTCCAACCAGGGCATTCGTGTTGACTCCCAGAATCAATGTGTACTCTTAAGACGTCCACTTGATTTTGGAATCGTTTTAAGATGCTGTACACATAGAATCCTGTTGTCGGCCCAAGGTGGCTGGGTGGTGTAATTGGTACCACTTGTTGTTGTGCTTGGCCGGTTGTGAATTGTCCAGGTCGGTTGTACTTGGTACTGGTCGGTTGGGATTGGTCCGACATGCGAACCGAACCCCCCCTTTCGCAATTCGGTGGAGCGGCCGGTTCGATCCCCCCCTCACAATTGAAGTCCTTCTCGGTTCGAACCTTTTCCTTTTTGCGCAAAGGGGGAACGGAGCCGTATCGCCCCCTCGCCAGGTTGGGGGGAGGGGGGCGGTTCGAACCCCCCGCCCTCCCCTTGAGGGGGGACCCCCCCTGGTTCGAACCCGCCCCCTCCCCTTGGCATCTCAGTGAGCCCCCCCCCCCCCGGTTCGAGCCCCCCTTCTTCCCAGCGCCCACGAAACGCGCTCCTTCGCACGTCAGCATGCTCATCTCTTTCGCCTCCCAAGCACGCCCCAGGACGATCTGCCGAAGTACGTCGGCCGGGCCGGCGGAGACTTGTGGGCCCCACGCGGTGCAAAAGCGGCGCGGGCTTATGGTAGGATAGGCCGGGATGCTCGAAGAGAAGACGAGGACGACGACGGTGACGACGAGGACGACGAGCACGACGAGGACGACGCCGAGGGGGGGGCAGCCGTGGCCACCAGCAAAGGCTTCTCGGAGGGCCAGGGGCGGCGACACGCCTCGAGCGTCGTCCTCGTTGTCCCTCCTTCGCCTCGGGCCCCAGGATGATCACATCAAAAACGCCTTTGTTCCCAACCATCATGTGGTGTTGGATCCTCGTTTTGAAGAGAGAGGGCCCCGCGTCTCCTTTCATTTCTCCTCCCCCTTTCTCCCTCTTATCATCATCAGCAGTATCATCATCGCTGTCACCACCACCGTCATCGTCATCATGATTGCTGTCATCATCACCATCATCGTCATCATGATCGCTGTCCTCATCACCAGCATCGCCGCCAATTTCGGCACACGCAAACACACACACACACACACACACACACACACACATCATACACTACGTGGCCCACAAGGCCCCACGGGCACCGTCCACATGCGTCCGCGCCACCCATTTCGGCCCCCCCTCACATTCTTCGTGGTCCCATATTAGGTTATAACGAGGCTCTGAAAGGTTGTTACTAGTTAGCCATGTGTATAATTACGTTGTATGTGACGAACTAGACACTCAGAAGTTTTGTCCAGCGCTTGCGGTGCAATTGTACGTGATGCTCATGTCGCGAATTTCAACATGCATCAGGGAAGCACAATATTGCCATTGATTTGCGGAGTCGCCCGGCTTAGATTTTTCCAGGCTGTCCCCACGCAGGATTGCGGACTCTTGTATCGCATGCAGGGATGTCGAATGTGTAAATTGCGTAGGGGAGCTGAACAGGATGTTGATTTCCGTAGAAGAGTGTGGTTAAAAAAGGAGTGCGCGCATTGTTGTTGAACGTATTGTATGCATATATAATTACAATGGCAGTACGGATAATTGGAATAAGAATAGTAATAATCATAAGAATAATATCAAATCGGGAGGGGGGCCCACGGGCTCTGGGGAACACTGATTTTGGGCGCGGCCAGTTTGGACCCGTCGGGGAGCGCCACAACGCGCCAAAGGGAGGGGAAGAAGGGCGACGAGAGGGCCCAAACTACATCCAAGAGGGCTCCAAGACGGACCAAAAACGCTCCAAGAGAACCCAAAGCCGCCCGAAGATGACCCAACGTGGTTTCAGGAAAGCCCAGGAAGACCTCAAGACGGCCAAGAAACCCTCAAAAGGAGTCCCACGAGGCATTCACGAGGCGAAACATTAATTTGTTTTCGTATGTGTTTGAAGGTTTTCCGTGTCCTGGCTTACCCACATTTCCGACGGGCCAAGACAGCCCACGGGGCCCTAGAAATCGGCCCAAAGACGGCCCAAGCGGCTCCCAAAGAGTGTCCAGGACGGCCCAAGAGAGCCCAACGACGGCCCACGAGCGTTCCAAGACGGCCCCAAGAAGGCCCAGAAGGTTTCAAATGGCTTCATAAAAGGTCCTAGAGAGCCCCCAGACCCTCCAAGGGCCCCAACAAGGCCCCCAGACAGCCAAAGCCCTCCGAGATGTCCCAAATTGGTCCCAGGACGGCCCGAGAGGGCGTGAAGTGTCACAAAGAAGTCCCAAGGGGACACCCAACATGGCCCTGAGACGCTAACTAAATGCATAGATGTTCGTTTGGTGTTTGTGTTGCATCACCTACCTAGTTCCAAACACCAATGATCCTAAGTGCGGACAGTGGTGTGAGCTCAAGACGGCCCAAAGAGATTCCCGAGACGCCTGAAAGACGGGTTCCAGGCGGCCAAACGTTACTACAATTTCTATTGAAAATTGTGGCTCCTCATCTCCCTCCCCATCCTCGTCTTGCACCCCCTCGGGGAAGAAAGCGTCGCTTTGAAATGCGTCCAGCCGCGGCGACGACGAGAACCCCCGAAGACTAAACAACTTCGGACCTCGATCCTCGCCTGGGGGCCCCATCTCGACTTTTTTGTTGAGACTCCCTCCCAAGATCTTTCCAAGATGGCCATGCAAACCCCCAAGAGGGTTCCAAAACGGGCCCCAAAGACGCCCAAGACCGCATCTCCAGCATGCGTCCGTCCAGGAGGCGTCCAAGAGGCTCGAAGGATGCCGAAGGGCGGCTGGAGGTGGTTCGGAAGCTGAAGTCATCGAATTTGAGGCCCTGCCAGTGCGACCAGGAGGGTTGTTGTGCGTGCTCCGCCCGATGGCGTGACAGCGCATGCATTCAATATCAAGTCTGTGGTTCCGCCTTCCTCCACCTTTCTTCGACATTTCCGCGAGTGCTCCGCCACCCCCCCCGCGTGCCAGCGCGTGTGGCATATATCGAGAAAGTTTGCCTTGCGTCCTCTGGCAGTCTCCGTTCCCTCTGCATATGCTCTCTGCCAGCTGGCGTGGCAGCACACGCATTCTGTTTCGAGGCAGTGTCTGCCCCGTCCTGAGCGATTCCTCCCCCCTCCCGCACGTGCTCGGCCAGACGGTCCAAGAAAATGTGACGACACCCAAAGACCAGCAAACTGCGGCCTCGGCATGTCATCAGATGGCCAGCCAACGGAGCCCAGGCCTCGAGGCTGTTCCGCGATCCCTCTGACGAGTCCGCGAGCCAAAGCTTACGTGTCGTGGCACCGATCTGGCAACGCTGGGCGGCGCCAGCGGGGCCAAAGACACATGCCCCCCCCCCCAGACAGCGCCAAAACAGCCCCCAAAGCCAGTCCAGGGAAGCCCTACGACATCCCATGGCGGGCCCAAGACGGTCGCAGTCCTTCTCCGACAGCGAGTCGCCCGCAAACTTCGACCTTCGTGTCATCACAGCGCCATGGACTGGATGCGCACATAAAAATGTGTACATGCATACGTACATACGTACTTACATACATACATACATACCTACATACCTACATACATACATACATACATGCATGCATGCATACCTACCTACCTACCTACCTACCTACCTACCTACCTACCTACCTACCTACCTACATACATACATACATACATACATACCTACAGACAGACATACACGTACACATACATACATACATACACACATACACACGTACACACATGCACACATACACACGTACACACATACAGAATGGGGAGAGGGGGCTTGGGCGTGGCCGGGGAGCTCTGATTTGAGTACCCAGCCTCTGGCCCCTTTCCATGGGCGGCTCTTGGCCCTCGGGGGGCACGTGCTGCAGGCTTTCAAATTGTTCCCAGGCGGCCCGAGGTCGCCGAAATATAGTTCCAAGACGCCCAAGATGGCCTGAAGATGGCCTAGGAGGCCCCCAAGACGCCCCAAGAGGTCCCCAAGAGGATTCCCAAGGTGGCCTCGAGAGGCCAAAAGTGGCCCCATTCCCGGCAGGACACGTGTATGTTTAGAAGATTCGTCTCTGAAGCTTTCAGAGCATCCAAGACGGCCCGCGAAGCGTCCAAGATCGCCCCAAGACGGCCCAAGAGGCTCCCTACTGGGCTCCAAGACAGCCCAAGAGAGCCACAGGAAGGCCCAAGAGGCCCCCGAGACAGCCCATGAAGGCCTGAGGACGGCCCCAAGAGGGGGCCCAGAAGGGGGTACCCGAACGGATATTTCAAGCATTTGAGCGATCTTGGAGATCAGCTTGGGCTCTCCGGGGCCCTCTTGGAGCCATACCCCGTCCAGGTCCAGGAGAGGGGGTAGGGAGAGAGGTAAAGACGCCCTCCCCGCCCGCAAGCCGTCTCGCTCACTCCCACCCGCCCTCCAAGCACATACGTAGCACCCGAGCCTGGCCCGAGCCGCAGCATATGCAGCAGTCGACTTTGGATGGCCAGCTACTGGGAGCCAATCCGCCGCCGCCTCCGCCGCGCCGCCGCCGCCGCCGCCGCCGCTGCCCGCCGCTGCCGCCGCCGCCGCTGCCGCCGCCGCCGCCGCCGCCGCCCGCTATCGCCGCCATGCCGCCGCGCTGCCGCCACCGCCACCCGCCGCCGCCGCCGCCGTCCCGCCGCCGCCGCCGCCGCCACCGCCGCAGCCGCCGCAGCCGCTGCCCCCGCAGCCGCCGCCGCAGCCGCCGCCGCCGCCGCCGCCGCAACAGGGATGGTGGGGGAGGCCGCATCGGGTTCGCTGCGCATGTTCCGAATTTGGAGACAGAGTGTGTTTTGTATTTTGTTCACAAGGGATGGTGGGGGCAGAGTGTGTTTTGTTTTGTTTTTTACAAGGGGTGGTGGGGGGGGCCTTCATGGACCTGGGTTGGCTCCCAGTCGTCTGGGGGAGGGGGTGTGTATTAGTAGGGAGCAGTGATGAACCCCTCCCGAAGGGGGGGCGGGGCCGATGGAAGAGGGAACAAAGACATCGCTAGACCGCCTGCGCGCAGACGACCTGGCGGGACTCATGGATGCTATTGCTGTGATGGCAGGTGCCGCAAGCAGCCTCGATACGGTTTTGTTCGGCATCGCCGTTGTGTACACAGCACCAGTAATACGGCCTCGGCCTTCCCAAGCGTTCGGATCGCGCAACTTGCCCCGACAACACGTACGAGGAGATCTCGGAGGAACTTGCCAGGTTGACGCGACGTGTGGAAACACGGCCACCACTAACATCGGGCGGTGCGCATGGAGAAGGATGTCTTGGCGTTGCTCGGTTGCCTGACGGTGGCCGTGCATCGGCGCAATGGACATCAGGAGTGAGGTCGACAAACGCACTCATGCGATCCAAGCAATATCAAAAGGCATACGGAGAGCTTTCCTGCTGACGCAATGCCTGGTAGGAATAGAACGTACAGATGCGTGTTGGGATTAAGGTGAGAATATAGAAGACAACTGCATACGGGCGTGGACGTTGTTCTTGATGCTGTCCCGGATAGGCTTCCGATTCCGTTTCCGAATTTGGCATCATTGTTGTTCTTAATACCGAAGTTGATAGAATTGCGGTTCCTAATAACCGCATCCGTATTAGGCACGTCACGAGCATTTGATCAGGATACATTTGAGGAGTAGATTGG